ATTTAAGTCCTTCACTTTCTCCACTTCAAGTAATTTAATTTCAAAATATCTTACTTCTACTTGTTGAATATTTCATTTTATTTTCTCCTTGTGTTGTTTTCACTTATCAAAAAGTCAATCACAATTTTTTATAAACTGCATACTTAGAATGGTGTGATGGTACAACAGAAGTAGGAAACATTAACTAACTTCTTGAAGAGTTCACAATCTAATTAACAGAACAAAATTTAAGCATATTAAGTAATTTGAAAATAGCATTAGACGGTGCCCTGAAGCTGCCTGTACAAGACTCCTTCCAACGGAGGGGAATCTAGTGTAGGGAGGTAGGCTAGTCTATTACAAAGCAAAAATCAGTAATAAACATAGAAATACATTGAAAAGGACTGACAAGATGTTCATAGTCATCCACACAGTATTCCCCATAGGTAATAGGAGTTATCTCATTGAGACCCTGACACACAGAACACTATACTGATACCTGAAATTTTTATCATCATGCCATTGCATCTATTGTTTCAACAATAAATTCACTGTTTAGGACTTTGTGTATTAGCAGACACTGTGTTTTCCTAAAGATGGAAGCAATCAGATACAAAGAAAGGCTCAAAATTGAAGCATCTCTCAACATCACTTGCTTTTGGTCTGGAAGTTGTTTGAGTATCTTTAAATAACCAGCTCAGAAAAATCTGAACGTGTGCCCAGGTATACTATTCTAGATACAGTTAACAAAACTCATTTAGTAATACAAAATAGTAATCTCAATAATGACTACAGATGCATTATTATCCATAAATATTGCATATTTATGTTAACAAAAAGTGAAGAGTCATAATACTAGGACTATATGGATATTCCTTTTATCAAAATTAAACATATGATATATATTTTATATCTCATAAATTTTATTAAAAGAAATTTGTAAAAATGGTGTTTCAGAGATTATATATTTGCCTTTAAAAGGCATATCAAAAGTGTTGTACCTAATTTTTATTTAGTATTTATTTATTTTAGAAATTGTGGTTGTCTTTAAAAGTGCACATGGCAGGCTGGGCAAGGTGGCTCAAGCCGGTAATCCCATCATTTTGGGAGGCTGAGGCGGAAAGATTGGCTGAGCCCAGGAAGTGAAGACTGTGGTAAACTGCGATCATGCCACTGCACTCCAGCTTGGATGATAGAGTGAAACTACTACTCAAAAAAAATAAATAAATAAAAAAGCACAAGACACAACACCTGTACAATTTTCATAATAGGAGTACTTATATCATTTTAAAGAGAAGGGAAAAAATATTTGTTGAGTAATATTAGCTTGTCATTAGTCACAAAAGTGTAGGCGTCAGAGAGGGATTCACATTTTGACTAGCATTTCCTAGCTGTGTGAGCATGGGGCAGTCACCACCCTTTCTGCACCTCAGTTCCCTTGAGGGAGTAAAAATAGAACCTACTTATGAAGTTATTGAGATGCTAAATGTACACAAAGCATGTAGCATTTGAAAGGTTTAGCCTAGCCCTCCAGACCATGACACAAACAGGTTTCAATAAATAATAGTTGATATAAGCATTATTTATTTTTTACAAAAATGTGGTATATTTACACAAGGGAATACTACTCAGCTATAAAATAGAATGAAATCTTGTCATTTGCAGCAACATAAATGGAACTGGAGATTATTTTCATAAGTGAAATAAGCCAGGCAAAGAAAGACGAATATCACATGTTTTCACTTACATATGGGAGCTAAAAATTTGATCACATGGAAGTAGAGAGTGGAAAGATAGATAACAGGAAGGCTAAGGGGGAGGATGAAAGAGAACTGGGTTAAAGGGTACAAACATACAGTAAAAAGGAAAGAATAAAATAAATATTTGATGGCAGAGTTGCCTGACAATTCTTGACCAAATATATGAACTCAAGTGATGGACACCCTAAATACCCTGACCAGATCACTACACATTATATGCATGTAACAAAATTTCTCATGTATCTCATGAACTTTTATAAATAAAAAAAACGGGGGTAAATGAAACATATATGATATACACATTTAAGGCAATTTTATTATATATATAGTATATATATGTTATATATGACAAAATAGTCTAGTATAACATACAATTTTTGGTCTGTTTTGTTCTACCACAACAGTAAAATGTACACTATGAAGTCTTAAATCATAACAATGTTTTGAAAACCTTATGGTAGGTTAAGTTAAACAAATTTGTGGTAAATTATTCTCCAATAAAGTCACTTCCAATTATGAAGTCATTAGCTTGGTTTTTCTTTGTCAGTTTACTTCCATTCCACCCCCACCTCCTCTTGAAGTGGCATTAAACATGGGGAGGAATATTGAGGGAGGGATGAGCACTGAGATAGAACAGCTGGATTGGAATACTGTGAAGGACTCATGGCTTTTGTATTCAATTTGTACTTGACATAGGGTGGTAAAAAGCGAAGGAGGAAGCCAGGCTCCCTGGCTCAGCCTGTAATCCCGCGCTTTGGGAGGCTGAGGTCAGTGGATTGCCTAAGCCCGCGGGTTCGAGACCCGCCTGGGCAGCGAGACCTCATCTCTACAATAAATCAAAAAATCAGCAGGGCTTGATAGCGCATGCCTGTAATTCCGGCTACTTGGAAGGCTGAGGCGGAAGGATCGCCCGAGCCCAGCAGGTCGAGGCTGCGGTGGCCGGGAGCAGCCACTGCACTCCAGTCTGGGCGACAGAGTGAGATTCCAACTCAAAAAAAAAAGCGAAGGAGGAAGAGGGAAAAACAACAGCCAAATACCTCTGATGCTCTCCTCTTGTCAAGAGTTAACTCACAGCCCACTCCCGTCCCCACTTAAGCACATACACACTGAAGAAACACGTTTTTGCTATGGACTGGTGCCTATGCAGAGTTGGTATCAGACAGTAAATTCTCAGTGCAACATATGTAACTGAATATGCAGGGAACAGCCTGCAACCGGATTGGCTGCCCTGAAATTGCAGAGGAGATAAAGACCATGTTGATTCCCCAGACGCAAAACCCATGCTCTGAACATCTCATCGCTCACCATCATGCCATATATTCACTCTGGGCCTGTGGAAATTCTGTGCATTCCTCAGAGCCCTGTACAAAAGGCATAGGAGAGTCTCTCAAACAAGAAAGTGTCCTTCCCAGATTGAAGGTTTGGGCTGAACTCTCTCTCCCTGGACAAGGAAGAAGGTACCCCTCTCTGAGACCTATTTCTCTCTTCTCCACCTCAGGGTTCTGAAGTCCACGAGCTTTCAAGGAATATCCCTGTCTTTATTCGTTACTCCCACTTCCCTTCCCCTATCGTCATTGCAGTCATGGGGATTCCCAAGGCTGTTTCTAACCAGAGGGTCCTTGGTATCACCTGGGAGGAAAGTGAGGCCTGGGAAACGGCATTTGGAATAGATCCCTGGAAGATTCAGGTGCAGGGGCTTCAGGACCTGAATTTGAAGCTGCGAAAAAAAAAAACTATGTGAAACCGTTTAAGACACCAGCAGAGGAGTCGAAATTGTTGGGGTTTCCTGTCCGATACAGAGGTAAAGGTCTCGCTGTCACTGCCAAGTCCCCTCTCCCCATCTCTTGCCAAGTTGAATGTTTAATTGTAGCGAAGATTACACCAAGCGCACTTTGGCTTCTTCACATAGATCATGGCCAGGGCTCCTTCTACTCCCGTGCGCGACTATAATGTATTCTATTGTTTATTCAAGTGAGGAGTCTAAGAAAAGTATTTAGCTGCTGTCCTGGTGGTGGCGAAACGCCACCTGTCGGATACTGGGGCTCCTGGGGTGCCTGCCCTCAGAGATTCTGTCCCCGCAGATACGTTATCCCCTCCCAACATCCCTTACCCCCTTCGCGTCTCCTCCCCGCCAGTCCTATGCTACCCTGCAGGCGCCCCACGTCCGCGCCTGCCCGCCCGCCCCTCTCCGTGCCTCCGCCTCTCACACTCGGCCCCCCGCGTCGTCCTCGCCCCACGCGCCCACTCCGCTCCCGCTGTCCCGCCGGCCTCACTTCCCGCCCTCGCCTGGGTCGGCGCCTCCGCCCACGCCGCCGCGCTCCGCTCCCTCAGGCCGCTGGTCCCTCGCCCGGCCCCAGCCCCGCCGCCGCCGCCTCCTTCGCAGCCGCTGCGCCTCTGACTCCGGAGGCTCGTCGCCCGCGATCGCCTCTGCGTCCTAGCCCTCGAGACCCCGCTCTACCGGCTGACGCGGAGGAGCCGCCATCCAGCCGCCGCCACGGCCAACACGGGTGCCACGCGCCGCCACCGCCGCCGCGCCGCCGCCG